CCATATTTTGCAACCGCGACGAAACCCCCAAAAATAAGCGCAGTAAGAAAGCCAATGACGCAAATAATATCAGAAATATAGAGGAAGAGGATATTATAGGAACAGAGACCTCACTATAGCTGAGATCCAGAGACACACAGGCACAACTGAGGGGGAAGGGAACACGGGAGGGGTATTTATAACCTCCCAGCATCCAGGTGCAGGCGATGGGTTGTTAATTGATGATTGATGAGATGATAGGCGGCACCCGCTGGTGACATCTGGAATTACACCCGAGACAAAGCACTAGGTGCAGCCTTCACCAAGCTATGGCAGGAGTCTTACACCAGGCAATGGGACCTATGGAAGTATTCAATGCTAAAAAGATAATGAATGGAAGAGTAAAACTGGGAAGACAAATTAATAAAAAGAGTTAAAAAAACAACAAAACCAACGAAGAGCATTGCCCTGCACTTGAATGCACAATGCTCCATTTTACCGGGCACATTCAGTCAGTGCGTCGTTGTAAGCTGGGCCCATTAGAAACAATGCATTGTAGGACCAGCCATTACATGGGGTCTGTGCTGAGTAATGCAGCCCAATCCGATATTTAATGCAATAATAAAACGTGGTGGAGAATAATATTAAAAAAAAGTTCAAATCAAAAATTGCTTTAATGTACAAAAAAACAATATATACGCAAAATATGCTCCGGTTGAAAATACTTCCCCTTAGCAAAGTATTTGTTGGTTTTAAACAGTGCGGTTTGATGCATTTAAAATATTTCTTCTGATTAACACAATGTATATTTTTTAACATTTTATTTGCATCGAATGTTTTAGATTCCTCAAATTTCAATTGAATGTATTGTGAGGTGATACTGCACTATGGCCACTAGATGGAGCTGAGGAGCATGGCAAATAAATACCTATTACCTATGCTCCTCTGCTCCATCTAGTGGCCATAGTGCAGTACTACATCACAATACATTCAACCTTAAAAGAACATATATTAGGAACGTTCATTTCCATCATTATTCCCACAAAACAAACGTTCATAGATGTTTGAAGGGCGAAGGACTAGAAATAGTAAATAGTGAAGTATGCTAATATATACAGGATCGGTAACAGACTGTCTGTCATTGTAGGAAAACTCCAACGTCAACAACCTCACATAGGGATGAAGGATAAATCCGGGACAACTTGGACCAGACAAAGTCCCCCTCACCACTCACTGTGGTAACAACATGGACGTGGCACCCCAATAACTAATATCAGCTTTGAAATAGCCAAAGGGTCCGGCACCCCCCGATTTTACAACCAGTACATTTCCCCGTGCTACAAACGCAAGCCGAAGCCAATTTCTGGTGGACTTTTCACCCCCAACGATGGCGCCTTGAACCACGAGAAGGAATCCATGTTTATATGTTTACAAGTGACCCATCTAAATAATCAAAGACAGTTGTGGGTGAGGAGGCCTTAAAGCACATCTCACTCCACCGGCAGTCAAGGATCCATCACACGTCTACTTATGGGTAACTTAGGGGCACGGCTTCTTCAAGAGGGAGAAGAGAGAATATTATAACCAGACAACCCCCAACGGCCGAGAACAACTGTGTGCCCCCGCGCTGCTAAAAGCATTACTGAGACGTGATAGGTCTACAAGGAATATATCAATGGATTGGTGCACAGGGACACCGTAACAAAAAAAAATGGTCAGCATTCCTTAGTCCGTATGGGAATTTGTCTCCACTTCCCCCTCCCATTGCGTCATTTCCATATGTCCAACTTCAGCTTTACCCGTGCCCCTTTATATATAGAGAGACAAACCAAGAACACTGGAATCTGCATTGCATTATTTTGTACTGGCTTGTTGTAAATAAAGATTTTATACCAAAGAACCCGCCCCGTCTCGGCTCATTCGGTGGTATGAACTGAATTGTTAGAATTCGGGAGGAGGTTCAGCTTCGCCGCCACCATGGCTTCCCATGGACAGAAGAACTTCACCAGACACAATTTCTTTATCATAAATAATATATTTGGGGTCGTTTCCCTTTTTTTTAGATGATAACTTTTCACCACGACCCCTTGAGGTGTTCCCACATACCCAATTTTTCAAAATGATCACCCTTTGCCATGGCTAAGTTACAAATTGGCCAGCAGAGTACATGACCAGGTA